CGCACAGGGCTACTCTGCTTGCTGGAGGAACCAACGCCAGGCACAGGTTGCAGCACCGATCAAAACACATGGGAAGCTGGGTGAAAAGAATTTCCGTGAAACCCCTTGAGAACAGCATCAGGGTTTCCCAGAAAGCCCTTCTCTCTTACTGATTTGCCATCATTTTTTAATGCAGGTTTTGAGCTTTCTTTGGAGTCTAATTAAGGCCCTAATCAGTTTAAATGATGAAAAACTTTCCCAACACCAGCATATCAAACACGCAGAAGCAACAGTTCTGCTCCTGTCAAAGCGAGCCTGACTCGCCTTTGCTCGTGTGAGGGCACCATGCTGAGTAAAAAGGAAAAATCACATTCTTCATCAGCACTTCACAGTGAAATTTAAGTTGTCGGTTCCTCACGGGAAATCCTGATGCAACACCCAAACTGTCCCTGTGAAGCGGAGCTTGGTGAACGTTTAATTACGCCTCGGAACAAACACACATCGCTGCGTGGGGGCTGCGAGGAGCCATCCGAGCTGCGTGCTAAGCTGCTCTGTCCCAGAAGCAGTTTCTTCAATAGCACTCGCTTATCAAAAATAATTAGAGGTAGGAATGCTGGAACTGTGATTATGAAACAAATGGTAAATCTATTTGCTGAGGCGAAATGTATTGAAAGATACATCTAGACACAGCTGGAGACTGAGGTGATACCACAAGGATAACAACTCGAGATCCAATTTCATCTTTCATGATTAAAAAATGAGCAAGAAAGTGTTTTATGAAATGTGAAGGTTAACAAATGTTCCTTCACAAGCAATGACGACAGTTTATCTTTTGAAACAAATGATCAGGCTATGGTCTGCTAGCAGCTCCCGAGACACACTGGAAAGATTTCTGCTAGAAACCCACTGAGGATCAGCACACAGGGCTGGCAGCCCACTGTGCTGCCAACACCCCGGACAAAGCCGGCTCCAAGGCAACGCTGCCGTACTGGGGCAGGAGCCGGGCGTGCTCCTGTCCCGACCCTCTGCCCTGTGCCAGTGACAGGAGCCCAGTTCATCCCTGCACCCAATCCCTGCAGTGGCCATGGCTCAGCGACACCTGCCCATGGGAGGGGTGGCACAGGAAGGTCCCAGATCGACAAATTAACAACCACTTTGGCTGAATTTCTAATTTGCCCAAAATATTCCAGGAGCCCCTTCTGTCTAAAGGGAAGCACCCATACACTGTCACCTCTGCTGCAATGAAAGAAGCAGCGGCTGGTGCTGGGCCTGTGCAGCCCCAGGCAGGGACATTCCTGCTGCAGGCTCTGATGGGAACTGGGGATGGAGCAAGGGGAGTGGGCAGCACATCTCACCAGGGGATGAAACATGTTTTCCTAAACAGCACAATCAGCTCCCAGGCAAATTCAAAGAAATGTTGGTCTATAAAGAGATTATGAAACACCAATTTTTCTCCTGGTTGTTACACTGCAATACTCCTTTTGGACTACAGATATAAAAGGTGCATATATTTACATTTCTGGGTACAGAATCAGTCTAGCTTTCAATTTTTCACATGATTGTTGACCTACTAAATATCAGTGGAATATTCACATATAGAGTAAGTGGCCAACAAGGAATTCCTCTGGGTGTTCTCCAGGTAAAACATTCCCTTTATGGTGCGACTACAGTGTGAAGTATGAAAACTTATTTTTAGGAATGAATTCGGCTACAATTTGACTAGTAGACCAAACACCGTGAGCTATTTAATGAGTAAAAAAATGCATATAGAAGCTCTAAAACTGTGAGGGAATTATATCATGATAGCTATGGATAATTCTCCAAGAAGAAAAATTCAAATTACCAGAAGTGAACAGACAGTAGAGAAGATGGTGATGGCAGCTTTAGCTCCTTCTAATAATATAATTAATAGTTAAAATTGAGAAAGAAAAGAATATTTATATGTAGAAGGCAACACAAGATGTTTTAAAGTAAAAAAATTGCTTTATACTCTCATAAAATATGGGACTGCATAGCAATGCCCTTATTCCTATCCTAGCAGCCTGAAAGGATTCCTTAGCATGAGGAGAACAGAACACAGGAGTTTGGCAGAACCCCCAAAAAAACCAATATAAACTAAATTTACTTATTAGTGAGCACACAAATCATGATAGCCATAAAGCTGGCTAAACAACTGAATGCTAGTTAACAACCATGTTACAGAATTAATGCTATTCCTTCCTATTCGAGTCTCCATCAAATTCCCTGGGATACGACAATTATACTGTTCTTCCCAACAAAAAAATCAAATAAGAAATATTTCTAGTGGTCAAAGCTCTTAACATCCTAAATTCTGATGGGGGAAAATATTTAAGGTAAAAGCCACATTAAGTCTTCTCTGCAGTTTAACTGTGCTGCACAAATAGCAACAGTTTTCCCCCTTGGTGGGCCAGAAATTATTCTAACACAAAAAATGGAGACAAAGGTATTATGAGACCTCTTTCAGGCACAGAACTTTGTTTCAGAGGCCACATTTAACTGCTGCTGGGACAGAAGCTGAATGGCCATGGTCAAACACTAGTCCCAGTTGTTGCCTTTCATGTTTCGTGTCATAAATTGCCCTCTCTTCTCAAAGTTGGAACGTGGGCCATTTCCTTGGGATCTGCAATGCCTGGCTTCTTTTCCATCTCTAGCACAGGCTTCTAGTGTGCCCCAGAAAATTCATATCCTCTAGGGGTCAGTGAGAAGATTGAGCAGCACCTCAAAGCAGCATTTTCAGCATAAAATAAGGAAAGAAAGTGCTCTACAACTACAATGAGGAAAAGGTTCTTTAAGCTTAACAGCATCAATACTGCTGTCCTTTGGCACTTTAACATGTCTGATTTGATGCCACACATTATTTTTGTTATGAAACTAGAATAAACCAAAATCAATATGTGCTTATTAAATGGACAAAACATGGGGTAGCTCATAGGTCTCAAAAAGCAAATGTAAATGGGAAACACTGCTCAGCTGAATATTTCTAGCAGGGTTCTGTTACATGCAGAATAAAGCTGAATATCTACCTTTAGGGTCAAATTAAGGAAAAAAAAAAAAGCACAGACACAACACTTTTTCAAGTTCACAAATGACAAATTCCAGAGAGGTGATAAATAATGAAATGGAGGATGACAGATGGAGAGACCTCGATCACTTGGCAAGCTGAGTGCAAGCACGATAAAGAAAAGATAATGTATAAACAAGATAAAGTATACAAAGAAATACTCCAGAAAATAATGCAGCTATTCTTTCTGGAAAGAAGATTATTCCTGGAAGTAGCTCTCCTGAGAGATTTTGGGGGTCCTTGTGATAGCACCTAGCATGACCCAATTGTGATACTGTGATGAAAAGCTTCCTCAGCAAGGGAAGATCAAAAACTGTTATATTCTTCATTGACACATCAGAATTATGACCACAATACAAAAAGAGTACAGCTGAACTGAAGGAGAACCACAAAGATTCTAATTTGAGGTTAGAAATCAGTGTGTTAAAGAACCCTCTGGAGCTCAGTGTTTTCAGATTAGCACAGACAGGGTGCCACGAGTGTCTTGTCACAAGTGACTTGTGACATTAGTCAATAATCAGATTTATGCAAGGTACAAAAATTATTTCACTATAGTGAAGGTAGTTACATATTTCCTCATCACACATTTTCCATCTTCCCAAAGGCTGCTTATCCTGTCTTTTCCTCTTTGGATATGTTCACCCTTACCCAAGCTCCTCTTCACTTGGATTTTGGGAATGTATCCCACCTAACCAGGTGTGGACCTGTGACTCCTGCCTGTGTGGCAGAATTTCAGCTGGGACATTTCATGTGTGCCCTGAGGAATTTCAGCTCCAGCAGGAGCAAAAATCCTCACGTGGGCAGGATGCTCCTGTACACTGCCTGGCTGGAAGGCAAGGTGACAGCTCCCATATGGCAGCTAATGGACTCATCTCTTCTGTTTGGCTCAGTGCTCTGTCTCTCATCTTTAGAAGGAGAAACATGTTTGTTCAAGTTTACTAAGAAAATATTTACTAAAGATTTTCTGAAATACATTTTACATTGAAAGACATGAAGCATCTGATCATTGACACTAATCTAGCCAGCATCTGGACACTACAAGGTTAGATGGCATTTTACCTCCCTATCTAAGAACCATGTGTTGGATTTGTTTTTGCTTCAGATGTTTTGCTGTTTGAGGTTGAACGGGAAATGCTATCAGTGCTTCAGAAAAATAAAAAGAAAATACACACATTAGCTGGAGATCAAATACATTCTTCCAAAGGAAAAACAAAGCAAAACTCAGAGTGTTTTGCAGTGTGACCCTCATAAGGATGTTTGCATTAGGCCTGCTGTCTTATTAATATTCATTTGTGTTTATATAAAGTATTTTGCACAAAACCCCCATACACAGCAGGCAAAAAGCCCCATGTATTGCAGACACATGCTGACAGGATAGTTGTAACTCACAGTTAGTGATGGTCTCTGCTGATTTCCTCATAAAGAAAAGTTTTTTTGAAGTTGATCTGCAATTTTTGTATTTTACTTTGTTTAGTTAGGGAAGGGACAAGAACCCTTTGGGAGGAACCTTACTCAATAGAAGCACAAGAAGCCTGTCTAAAAGCTATGACTGAAAAAGAAAAGGTAAAGGTTTGGTCAGGTCTCAGTCAATATGCAGGAGTATAGCATCAGAGATATGCAAGAAGAATTAACAGTCTTTTCCTAATTTACTCAGCAAGCACTGTTTGCTCTTGCTGGTTCATAATAAGAAGAAGTAGAGTTAAGTCATGACTTTCTTCTTCTACCTTCACCTAAAAACAGAGTTCCACCTCCCTGACTACGAAATACCTTAAGTGCAAATAAAAAGCCATGCTTAGACAGAGGAAGAAACTCCAATCTCTTCTGGGCAGGGCTGACCATGCACAAGCACATGTTTTCATAGGAGAGGTTTAGAAACCCAGACAGCTGGCAGCATGCTGAGAGGCTTTGGGAAGAGCCCACAGTACGTTCCTCTATTTACCTCAGGTAATCTCTGCGGCAAAGAATGAGATTTGCTTTTGTGTAAAGAGTTGATCCAACCTCTCCAAGACGACAGTCACAGCAGGCACACTTTAAACAGTCTTCATGCCAATACTTATCCAGAGCCTTCAGCAGGTACCGGTCCTTGATCTTTCGGTTGCAGCCAGCACAGCCCTTCTGCTTCCCTTTGGGTTGTACGGATAACATCGGCACACCTGCAACGCAAACAAAGCATTTCATTGAGAGGATATCCAGACAGCTTGGATAGGTTACTGGCATTTGGGGTAGCACTGTGAGCTATAGGTAGATCTGTGAGCAAACACTGCTGCTGGTTTCATTACATCAAGCTCACGCTGTAAGAAGCTGACAGTCAAAGGAATTTTACCTTCATCTGCTGTCAGGGGCTAAGTGGGAGTGTGACACTTGCAAGAATGAAGCCCTTTTTTCCTGAGTGTAGGGCTGACACAACGCACCAGACTTTTTGTAATTAACATCTTGCAGTGGAATAAACTGGCTGCAATATCAACATTTGCTTTTCCCCTCATTACCAGTACCCTTGTGTTGTTAATTACCTGCCAAAGGCAATTACAAAGATCAGAAGGGCCACCACTGCACGTACTCCCAGTCCAACATCTTGGCTGGATCAAGTTTGATGGGGAAAGGAGAGGAGAGGGTATAAAAAGATGTGGTATACCACTGTTTTTCCTCTCTTGTGAACCCCACTGGTAACAGAGGCCTCACCGGAAGCTAAAGCAGTCCAGGGGCTGCTCCAAAATCAATGTGATTCCAAAGTTCTTGAGGAATGCTGAGAATAACCCAACCAGTGCCCCCCTGCCACTAGTGAAACCATACTCCTTGAGCAAACTAGAGCTTTCCTCCTCCTCTTGTATCACTGGAGAAGGTAGTAAAAAGCCAGGAGTTGCTTCCTCCCTGGAAAACCCTGCTGGAACCGCAAAGCAAGGATGAGCTAGCTGGGAATGAGGTGGTGACAGGACTTTAAGTCATGAGGCTGGTGGAGACTTGCCGTGGCCACCATCCTCACAGTGCTGTTTTTTCCTCTCCTCCAAGCAACAAGTGCCTCCCTTGTGAGCACTGACACAGCTGTGAAACCTGTCAGCCTTCTCAGTTTAAGAGGGGGGCAAGAAAGGATTTTATGGAATCAACAGGCAAGGTGGAAAAATAAACAAGGATTGTACTGTGAGGGAGGACAGGGACAAGAAATGATGAAAGAAGTATTCACTGCTATGCCAGAATTCCATTTTCTCTAGAGCCTTCATCTTACTTTGTTACAATTTTTATTTTTGCTGTTGTCAATCACTGAAAATGACAACGCTGGGCCTGTAACAAATACATTGTGGGCTTAACCAACGCAGACATGATGAGAGGGCCACAGTAGCAGGTGTCACTGGCTATATACTCATACACAAAGTTAATCTGCCATTTCTGTAGGAAGCACTGGATGTTCCAGAAAGCAGCAGCTTGATAATGGAATTATTAACAATCCCTTAACTAGAGAGGACGAGTCAGTGCCACTCTCGTGACATTCACTGCTTTCCTTAAAAGCCAGGGTGACCTGAGAGTGCCTAATGGTCAGCACATGTAAACCCACCACTCCTACAGTAATAATTGCTTCATCAGAGCTGCGAGCAGATGACAATAGCACTTAAGACACCTCTACACAAACAGCGAGGTATTGATCCATTTGTAATCAAAGTGGTCTCAGCAGCATGGAGACAGGTCAAGTAACATTCAAAAACTCTAAAGGCTTAAAGAACCCGCCTGCCCTCTGCTGCAGCACACTTGAAACCCGCTCACAAAGTCTCTACGAGCAAACTCTTGACACCAGTGACAAATCCCCAAAAATTAAGTGAAAACTTACATCTGTGTTAGACTGCCACACATGCAACCTCTAATGCTACCGAGAGAGAAATTCCACATACACAGCCACAGAGAAACACACATTTGGAAAGAGGGAGAAGACAGGGAAGTGACAGAAATCGAATATACTGCAGGTCAGACTGCAGAAATCCTGTGCACCTGGTGAGAGTTTCTTACAAGAACAAGAGAAGTGGCCCCGTGGTTCTAGACACAGCACTTTTTTTTTTTCCTCCTTTTTTTTTTTCCAAAACACATTTCAGGAACAAGGAGAAGCTTCACTTTTCAAGTAATTTCTATGCTCTTCCCAAATCCACACCAGGAAAACAGCACATTGTGAGAAGAGGTTGCCTTGTTCTGAGGCAGAGAAGGGGGTGTACACAAATTTGCATTTGCAAACTGTGTAAGATCAGTACCAGTGATGAAAGAAAATAGTTTGCACCTATGAAAACTAAGACCTAGATGTGTAAATTATACTTTAGATAGGAACCCCAGACACCAGCAAGTCATTACCCACACCACAAATAGGCTCTCTAAACGTAAGCTGTATAACCCCGGAGGCCGAGGAGGGTTTCTTACAAAGGAGGGTCATCATACAATTCTTTTGCAAGCTTCATCTAGGTAACCTGAAGATCCTACATCTGGAAAGATGCAGATTCTGAATAAACAGTGCACCTTAAACACCCGCTCAAGAGGCTGCCACAAGGGTGGGGTTTGAGATCGGCTCTGAGATTCAGCAATGCAAGACCTTCAGCCAGGTGGGACTTCCCAAGGCTCCTGAGCACTTTTGGAACCAGTGCCCTTTCAGAGTTACAGCTGCCCTCCCCCAGAGCGAGGGCTCCACTGCAACAGCAGCGTGATCAAGAGCAAGGGCATTTGCACAGGGATGAAACCCTGGCTGGACCATTAGGAGAGGCTGGTTTGATTACTTAGGACAGGTTAGGAGGGTCTCCTGTGGCAAGCAGGTGGATGGCTGAGGGCTGGCTGTAGTGGCAGTTCTTGTTCCATCTGTGGCCCTGGCAGCCCTCACTCACTGCAGCCGTCTCAGCTCCCCACTATTGCAGGAGCACCATTGTCTTATGAGAGGCTTCTGCGAATAAGGGGAATGTAACACTTTGATTTGCTTCTAATAACTAGCAAAGGAATAGATATATATATTTTTAAGCAGTACCTTAAGCAAGGAAAAAAGCTATGTATTTGGTCAGTGTTCAGCAGGGGGCTTTCTAATGAAAAAAGGTACCATTTCAGAGATCATATGATGTTCAAAGCTGCTATTCCCACTCAGATAATAACGAGCAAGGTCAGCCTCTGCTGGTCAGGTTCAGTGTTTTGAAATTACATTTTGGGCTGTGAGGTTTCCCTCTGACATCCCAACCAACCAGTCTGCACGGAGCACACACGCCACTACTGAAAGTTGCAGCTGCAATTAGCTGGTGAGTTGACACAGCAGGCAAGGCGTGAAACAAAATTTCAAAAACTGCCAAACTTGATCAGCAAGGGTTCCTCAAACACTTGCCATGTCATTTCCAAGCAATAAGAGAGAAGCATTTTGGAAGCTTAACCCCTTTCACAGTCAAAGGCTTGCAGAGAGAGAGGACACAGCCAACACCAAACCCTGATTCCCTCCTCCTGCCTCCCCTTCCAGCAAACCTCAAGCAATCTGGGCTTTGCAGGCAGAAACCACCTGGAGTACTGCTCTTTCTTTTTGGAAATTTCCCCACTGCAACAGTGAGGTGCTGCTTCATTTCTCTCTGCAATTCTTTCCCAGTGTTTGCCGAAAACCGCCAAGATACCTAGTTCAATTTGATGAGGGGCATGTGGTGTCTAACTGGGGCTGTCAAGAAACAAAGGGGTCACCTTCAACAAATTCCACATGTGCTGTGTGGGCGAGGATTAGAAAATGAGAAGTAGTGTTGCAGAACTAGAAAAATTAACAGCTGGACACTAACAGATTTAAATACGTGATCACAAGGGAACAGATTATTGCCAAATTCTGAAAGTACCATCAAGTTGTTCTCTGTTCTCCTGTTGCTAGACATCCAGTGCTCTCTTTTCTTAGAAACAGCAGATGAAGCCTTTCTATTTCTGGCTACCTACACTCCCTTCTTTGCCCTTTACAACTTAATAGACTTGCTGCTGGTAAATACAAAACTAAACCTGTTCTGAGTGCTCAGAGCTCCAATACACATTAAAAAATTATAGACACCACCTCTGGACATACTGAAATTTATGTGTGTGTCTAAAGAGGCTGTTATTGTAGTGAGTAATCTAAACTTTACCTCTATTCACAGTCGGACAAACAAGCTTTAATCAGCCCATATCTTCTCAGTCGGGGTCTTTCTGTAAATTGATTCAGCTGGCTTTATAAAACAAGTGTCCACTAAGTACACCTCTAAATTTTTCTAAGCCATTTTACTGATATTTCTATTCACATGGCAATCAGCTGCAGTTCCTCTAAGGGCACTGTTCATAAAGCCTGGTTTCCAAGAGAGCCTGGGAACTTTTCATAAATGGTAGACCTTTTAAATAACAGTTATCTGCACTGGTCCTACGGTGTACGGCTCCACAGTGCTCTGGTCTGCCAGGGAGCTACCGGTCCCGTCTGAAAGCATGGAAGTTCACCACCTAATTTCTTTAATGCAACTCTAAAGGTTAATTGGTCTGAAAGAGTAATGGGGGACTGCTAGCTAATGATATATGCCTCAAGGCTTTGCAGCTTGCCTGTATTTTATACAGTCAAGTCCAGAGCATAAAACACAGGTGATATCACCAGAACTTTTCAGACCCCCCTCCAACCTGCCCCCCTCGGCCTCCCCCTCTCGCGCCCAAGCCCTCTGCCTCTACACCCGCGTGTGCCGAGTGAGAGCTGCAGGAGCTGAAGGCAGTTCTCTTCCACCTGCATTTCATGCCTTATTAGAGGGGGCTCTGAGAAGTGCCGCCACTGCACTCCTCATTACCACGGCAGAGAACTAAAAACAACCCTAATGAGGAGAGCCAGAGCGTACAGTACGGGGTGGGAGGAGGGACATCCTCCCACACTCCCCAAGGAATCTGGCCAAAATCTTCAATTTGCCATTTATGACAGCTAATTAGTTATTCTATTCAAAATCTTTGCTTTAAATAAAAGAACTAATTATACACAAAGGTCAGTCCCCCACCTCCTGTGAAGCTCACATAATTGGCTTATTTCCCCAACATTGTGTGTATGTTTTACACAATGCTTTCAGGCAGATGGCTTTAACTCTTTCCCTCGACAAGTTTTTTGGTGTTGGCTTTTTTGTCGTATTTGGGGATTTTGTTTGGTTTTTGGTTGTTGTTGGTTGGTTGGGCTTTTTTCTTT